CCGCCTCTGGTTTCTTTTCCAGCCCCGGCCAGCTGGTGCCTTAGTTTAGACTACACTTAACAGGAACAGAAATGTTAATCAGAAGGCTTGGGTTTGTGAGGCCCTTCTGAGAAAATACGGTATATCCTATTTATTTCTTTTGTTCTTAACGTGAACTTCTAATGTCCTCAAATACGTCAGTAGCTGTCGCAGTCTTCCTGGTGTTGTCTAAAACACTCTTACAAATACATATACTTGTAAGATTACTTAATGCACAATTGGAAGTTAATTGCAGTCTTTATATGACAACCAGTTGAACATGAGCCAGCAGTGTGCCCAGGTGGCCCAGAAGGCCAATGGCATCCTGGCTTCTATCAGGAATAATGTGGCCAGCAGGAGTAGGGATGTGATCCTTCCCTTGTACTTGGCACTGATGAGGCCTCACCTCGAGTAGTGTGTCCAGTTCTGGGCCCCTCACTTCAAGAAGGATATTGAGGTGCTGGAGCAGGTCCAGAGGAGAGCAACAAGGCTGGTGAAAGGACTAGAGGGAAAGTCTTATATGGATAGACTGAGGGAGCTGGAGTTGTTTAGCCTGCGGAAGAGGAGACTCAGGGGGACCTCATCGCTCTCTTCAGCTACCTGAAGGGAGGCTGTAGTCAGGTGGGGGCTGGGCTCTTTTTCCAGGCAACTAGCAACAAGACAAGAGGACATGGCCTCAAGCTGCTCCAGGGGAGGTCTAGGTTGGATATTAGGAAGTACTTCATCACTGAGAGGGTGATTAGACATTGGAATGGACTTCCCAGGGAAATGGTGGAGCCACCGCCCTGGATGGCAGTGCCATGATCTAGCCGATGTGGTGGTGTTAGGTCATAGGCTGGACTTGCTGATCTTAAAGGTCTTTTTCCAGCCTTGATGGTTCTGTGATTCTGTGAAAATGCTACATTTGAAGTAAGAATGGACATAACAAACCACAATCTCTTAAGAAGATTGAGGGAACTTGCATTTGAACCTAGAATGTTATACACCGTTTCCTAGTGTTCACCTCCTAAGTCATACTCACACTGATCAAAATCTCTTCATATTATTTCTTATATAAATAGTCCATTATAGAATCACAGAATCATTAAGGTTGGAAAAGACCTTCAAGATCATTGAGTCCAACCATAACCCAACTACCACAATCACAAAACTATATCCTGAAGCACCACATCTAGACATTTCTTTAACACCTCCAGGAATGGTGACTCCACCAGCTCCTTGGGCATCTTATTCCAATGCATTACCACTCTCAGTAAAGAAATTTTTCCTGATATTCTATCCCCTGGCACAACTAAATTTTCTCTCATCCTATCTCTAGTTACTTGGGAGAAGAGACTAGAGAGAAAAAGTCACCAAAGTTCCAAAATGTTATGTAAAACTCATACTGATGTTTCTGCTGCCCTAGAGTCCTGCCTTTCTGTTCCTTCAAGGCAGTTAGATGTTAGACATAACTCAGGTGTCTATATTCTTATGTAAGCACCTTAAAACTACAGACAATAACAATTCTTGTTACTTGGCTATCAAAATATTTTTCATTATAAGGGATTGTGTAACTGGATATTTTTCAGTAGATAGTTTGTGCAGTGTGTTACAGCAGATTGGGTTTTCAATTCTACAGGTGCATCAAAACCTGCAATATTAACCTTTTATTAAGGCTCTTTACTCCTTTTTGCATTCAGGTAAACAATTAATTTAACTAGAGATTCTGCAGTAACTCACCTTTTGCATGTACTTTTATTCCACTAAAAGCTAAATTCCAGGTACACACCAGTTGTTGGTGAGCTTTATATTTAAGTATTTGGTGGTTGTTGATAAACATTTGGAAGTTTCTTTGCTTTAAGTATTTGATGATACAGCTGCAAAGAAAGGGAGATAATAGCAGTCTGACAATTTTAGTTTGAAACAAGCATCCCATGCTGAACTCTAAATCAGGATGGTTTTTAGGTGAAAGTACCTAAATGGCAGCATCTGAATGAAGACTGGTTGTTGGGCAAAAATATTGTTAAAGACATGGTAATGCAGCCAAGACAGAAATATGTAATGGTGTGTTACAGTGTTCCAAGTGGAATAAACTTAGCTGCTTTTGTAACAATAATTCATTAAGTCAAGAAATCTCAGTTGCTGCCATTCAGTGTCAACACAGCAATTACTAGCTAAAAGGAAAGATGCTTTACAAGATACAAGTTTTTAAAGGAAGCTGATGGATTGCTTGCAAAATAAAAGCTTTCATTAAATTTATTTCAGGGTTCTTTATTAGAACATAACATTTCTTGGCAGGTAACTTCATCAGTTGTAGTTCACACCTTATTTGGACTTTGAAAAATTCAATGTCCACAAGAAGTAATCTCTCCCACAGGTAATTAAATGTGCAAATTTCAAGAACAAATACGGAAATAAATCTCACTTGTGTATAAGTTTAACATTTGACTATTTTTTACTTCCTGTCTGCTGTTACATCAACAAAATCATGATAATTGATATACCAAATAATGGCAAGTCACCTGCAATGAAAGGTAGAATCTATTTATAAAACAGACATTGAATAAATCTACATATGCTCATAAATTTGTCCCGTTATTGTGGCTGTGTGCACAGCTGCCTCATAATTTTTTTTTAATTTTTTTTTTTTTTTTTTGCAGTGATGTTCTCAGGCATAATTTCTTGCAATATTTACATTCAAATACTATCATATGATAGAACAGTATGCTTAGAACTGGACACATTTTTCTGTCATAGCAGGCATATTGCAGTTGTGATCTTATAATAAGAACAGAAAAAAAAGATAAGTACATTTCTTTCAGAAATGTTCATATTTCCCAGAATTCTCCTTTTTTAAAATTCAATTTTCCAGAATTTTTACAGAAGCCCCAGTTCCCTTCCGTGTTGTACTGGTTCATGTTACAGGAGATTTGGCATAAAATTGATGTTGCTAATTTGTACAGCTACCAGCAT